AGCACTACAATCATGATAACCTCTTAGCGATAATATTCAATAGATTATAACCTGCTTCATTCATCGTAAATATATTTCAACACCACAAGATTATCAAGAAATATAAAGTTCGTCTGTAATTCACCCTTTTGTAAATCAATTCAAATAAATAGAAATAATAAAGACATGTGTTAATTATTAGTCAGTGCATTCACCCATTACTTGCCCGGCAACCCCACATAACATCTAGTGGGTTTTATTGTTCTAAGTTAATTATTGCACGTTTGGCTGACTAGTCATTTAATTTAATTAATTTACATATAAATATTATATTGAGAATTATTTTATATAAATGTAGGACTTCAGGTAGAGAAGAGAATACCATGTGTACATTCGTGTACAATGAAGTATTTAAGTAAGTAAAATAATTGTATTAAATGTATATATACATAACATTTCATATATAAAGCATAATAATATGCTCCCTTTATATATTTTTATTGGTATTTGATTTTATTAATATTATGATAAAATTAAGAATATAACAGCATCATTATTTTTAATGAAGGTTATAAAGAGTAACTTATAATTATTAAGTATTAGAGGGCCCAATATTTGTAAATATAATAATTAAAAGCATTCATTTGTATGTATTTTTTTTATTACCATATATATATATATATATATATATATATAAAATATTCCCTTACCAATTTCTGCAATTTTTTAATCGGTACAGGTATCCTTAATAGTTCAACAGTTCATATTCATATAGTTGAATACATCCTAAATATATTTAACAATTTATTTAATTAATTTTCTTTATTTTATGCTATCTTCTAGATCATAAAAAGTACAAACAGAAAATTACATGTATTTTAGATTGCCAAGGTAAAGTACACATTTTTATAATTGATTTTACTAAAACTTAATTATTTTAATGTCAAGACTAAACGAAAAGATATATGAAATGTTTATAGAAAATTTATAGCCTTGTTCCTAACGATTTTAAAACTTATTTATTTGATAATTACAATTAAAGAAAGAAATATTTATACTCTCTACCTACAATTAAATGGTATGCTAAATATTAAAAATGGGCAGACGTAGAATGTATACAATATGAAAATATAAATAATATCAATATGCAATTATTGATACATAATTAGAATAAAATTGTTTTCGTTTTTGCATCTACGTTATAAAATACAATAAATGTAAATTTTTTAAATATTGCATACCTTAATGATTGCATGTACTTTATAATGAAATGCAATAATAGACGAATAGGAATGTCGGTAGTTCATAAGCTTAATTTTTAATTAATTTTATAAATCTAAATATATCAATTCTTATGTATTTATTAAGATAATAAAAGTAATAAAAGTAGTAATAAAATTAATACAAAGCTGTTTTATAAGATATAATTGTAAAATTCTATATAAAATAATTATATGATGTGAAATAATATATAATATAAAATTAATTAGGAGATATCAAATAATAAAATAAAATATCGAGTTGTAAATAAATTCTTTATCTATGCATAAGTTATTATAAGCCTTATAGTATTATTATTATTTTCTATTTACATTGAAAAATATTGAAAAAAATTGTTAATGTTTAAAAACAATGAAGATGTATTATAATCAAATTTTAAGATAATATTAATCAATACTAAAAATAAAATTTAACATTTTGTATTTTATGCAATTTAGAAATTATAATAGATTGCAGAGCTGGATGTTTTCAAGCCTGTGAGGAATTGTTTAATAGAAGTATGTTCAATTTCTTCTTATAGATTATCGAATTCTATATTATTATATATTCTATATAATTATTAATAATTACATTTTGCTCGAACTATAATAATAATATTGTTTTTAGAATCACCTATAGATATATTATATAAAAATATTACAAAAACAACAAAATTCAATTTTGCATGGAAATTCGGAAGAAATTAATACAAAATAAAAACAATCGTCGAAAATATAATATTGTTATGTATAACATGCTCAAAAATATATTTTGTTACATTAATATATATTAGCATATATTAAAAATTCTAATGATCATCATAAAAGAAAACTTTTTATGAATGGTTAAATATTGTATTTATTATATGGAATCATATATATTGTTGAATAAAATAATATTTGAAATACCAATAAAGGTTTGATATATTTTTAGCATTCAAAAACGAAATTTCGATTTTACGTTTCGCCAATACAAAATTATAGTATAATTGAAGCAATCCTATACATATAATTAAACATTGCATCGATTTTTATTCTTTTCATTATAATATAAAATAGTATAAAATAATCTTATAACCTGTTGTTTAATTATGTAGCAATTAACAATATTCTGAATTAATTAAAGATTAATTTTTTTAAATAAACAATTTTATACTTATAACAACATTATACGACCATAGAAGAATTTAAAAATTTAATTTTTAGAAACGTGACTATTAATAAGAAATAAATTTATGATAAATAACTATAGTATTTGGATAATCTAAATAGTTTAGTATTACAAGTTGTACTTGCATTATTCGAATTTTTAGATCAATATTTTTTTTTACATATATAATACCTCTACTGTTTCTGAATAAAAATAATTGTAATATTACAAAAGATAGTAACAAAATCAACTATTATCCAATATCGTAAAAAAATTTTTAAATGAATACAAAAATAGTATTTTATGTGAGTATTAATATATTCGAATATTTAAAGTGTTTGTAAATATTTATAATACAATAAATGTAAACGTAGCCTTGTATATCCTTTTTTATTTGATTATAGTGATAATTTTTTTTTCATTATATATATATTAATAATGTTAGTATCAAATTTAATAAAATCTAAAATTAAAAAAATTTATGAAATAATATCTTATATCTTTTTCAATTGAATTTTGAAATTACTATTATACGTATATATTAAAAAATCCAGGAAGAAATTTGGACATTCAAACACAATATAAAAATTTTAAATACCTGGTTATAATCATATTTGAAATGTAAATTATTTTCTATTAATTTTTTTTAATACAATTAAGGTTCAGAAATGACATAGAAGCGTTTATCTCTACTTTCTGTAAGTATATTTTTACTTATCTAATACTAATCTTTCTACTAGTAATCTATTAGTAAATCTATTAGTATTAAACATTAGTAATGTTTTCTTCTCCGAGTCTATTCATTCAGATACATATTAACACATTACAAAGTCTTATGATAGAAAATAGAAAAAATAATATAGATAGGATAGAAAATAGAATTAGATAGAAATAGAAAATAGAAATAGAAAAATAGATGATAGAACATAATAGAAAAAATAGAAAATAGAAAAAACAAATATTATGTTAGAATAATATTAGAAGAGGTACAAGACACATTATATTAATATTATAAAATGAGCTGGACATATATTCAGGTATAATCAAATTTAATACTAACAATTACTTCATCAAATTTAATGCTAACGATTACTTTAATTATATTAGTACATAATTTAAAAAAAATTTAAATACGGAGAAGAATTATCAAATTATTAAATAATTTATTGTTTACAAAGTAAATACAGAAAATACCAATAAAATGTATATACAGAAATGTTTTAAAATAGAAATAATCATTTTCTAGGCATGTCTTACTTTTATCAACTTTTCATTCATCAACAAAAACTAAGAAATTTATTTTAAATTTTTATTTCTTCAAATGCCGTCAATAAATAAACTTTTAATTTAAATATATTGTATAAATATATATTATATAATATATTTTGTATTTATAATATATATTGTAATCTATTAATTATTTAAATTAATATAATGTATACATGGATATTTTATATTTTAATTATTATTATATGAAGAACATACTTTAATATACAATATTATTTGTCACAATAAATATGTTATTAATTATTTGGATTCATATGCCAATTACCTCCAAGCCGTAAGGTTAAAACTATTTTTGTTGTTTTTTCTGTTATTGGTAAAAGTATTAATGCTGAAATAAATAAACAATATTTACATTATTTTGTATTAATTATGGCGCAAGTTCATAAACATATTATGTTATTATAAAAAATCTTACATTTAAACATATCAGCACTTATGGGTAAAAGTATTAATGCTGAAATAAATAAATAATATTTACATTATTTTGTATTAATTATGGCGCAAGTTCTTAAACATATTATGTTATTATAAAAAATCTCACGTTTAAACATATCAGCACAAGCAGTTAAACAACCTTCCCTGCATACTTTCATTATAGCTAAATTTGATTAATTATATAACAGATAATTTTTATATTTATATTAAACGAATATTTAAATAAAAGTTAATTGTTAATAGATTTTATGTTTTTAATTTTTTTAATATTAAATGTATTGATTTTTTGTACCAAATAAAATGAAAATTATAAAATCTATTATTGTTTTTGTTAGAATAATAAAATTTTTAATGCAATTCCAAGAATATTTAAATATTTTCTAATACATTTATAATTATTCCACTTCTACCAGTTAATTTAAAAATTTTTTATTTATGTTTCAATATTAACTTCATATTACTCAGTATATACTATAATATCATTAGTGTTTTTAAATATTTTATATGTGAATATAAATAAACATGGTACGGATGTGTATTAGATTAATTCCGTATAGAATTATTATAAATTTTTCAATACATCCGCCACACGGATACCTGTTGTAAACATTTATTTTTATGATTTTTATAATTGTAAGCTATAATAATTGAGTACTGGATACTATTATCGAATTTAAACCAATTAACTTTAAAAAATTGAAAGTCATGAAAATCTCTGGTAGCATGCAAGTGTCCATACAAAGTAAAAACATATATCAGTCGTATGATGAAAACTATAATTGAGATCTCTCTTCAATATATTCTTAATCTACAATCTTCTAGCCAAAAATAGCACACATTGAACATAAATTAAGTTAACAGAGTAAAAACACATGAAGTAGCAGAATTACTGACCGTAGTATTTCAATACTATTGTAAATTTTGTTTATCTGTTAACATCGTCATTGTGAATTAATAGTTTTATGTTTTAATAGATATCAGTTAATGTTCTTATAATGATATTTCTAAGGTTATACATTAAATTGTAATAGATAGTATACCCATTAATATAAATGCACATTTAATAGGCAAATTATCTATTTTCTAGTATCTTATGCATGTAACCTATTACATTCTTTTAATATTATAAAACTTTTATTACTAGTATTCAATCTTACATAATTTTATCAATATATAAACTATAAATGTTTTACAGTCCACTAATTATTTTGATGTCAATATTTTTTTAATTATATAATTAAAAATAAACAAATAAATAAAATAAATATAAAAAAAAATAAATAAAAAAATAATTCTACTTATATCAACTTTACCCCTACTTATATACAAATTCACACAGGTGAATGACTGACTCACTCAAAGAATTAGAATATAAAAAATTTTTTATATTTCCATAACTTATGCATATACAACATAGTTAAAGTAAGGTTAAAAATAGAATTATTAAAATGAAATTTACTGCTTCAAACAAATTTCTTGATAGTCTTTTCATTATTATTTTTCTTTTTTTCTTTAACTTTTTCACTTTGTATATATATCTTCATATTTTTTTAAAGCAATCTGCATACATTCATTCCAATAGCTAGGGTCACTCACTGATACCTGTTGCTAACTTTCATTTTTTGTCGGTCTTATTTCACTTATTACATATTTAATTTATGTATTTCACATGCCTTCTTCTGCAATCATTTATTGCAAAAGTATCATGCTCTCTCTTTATTTCCTCTATTTTTCTAATTATCTTAAATTTACTCACGTAATCTTTGAATTACAAGTTAGTACTGCAGGTCGTGGCATTTTTAAAAATCATATGTTTCATCATATTATACTTTATATATACTTATATACATCCATATACGTTTAGTATTTTTTCTTTGAATATATATATATATTGTCTTCTTTTTTGGCATGTCTACTTCAGACCCTTTATATACTATCCTTATATATATTTTATTCTTCCTTTATAATTTTTCTTATAGATACTTCAAATAAAATGAGATCGTTTACATGTATAATTATTCTTACTTATACTATAAAAACTCATTTAATCAATAAATTATAAAAAATTTTTATATAATTAGGCTAGAGTATACGTGGTAACCTCTTTTAATAATTTTCGACTCTTGTAAAGGACTTGTAGTAATACCAGGAAGTAAGAACTTCTTTGAAATCTTTCTGTGCTGAATACTGTAATTATGTTGAAACAATCAATGTCGCGAACAGAAGATGAAGATTTCTAAATTCATTTATTCTTCGTTTGTTTATTTATAACTTATTACAATGTACCATCTAATGTCTGCTTACTACGTACATATATAGTCATGGTATTATGCAGTTTAGTATCAGATAAGACCTACTTTCTCTCTCTCTCTCTCTCATCCTCTCTCTCTCAGTCACAATCTCAGCCTCTCTCTCTCTCTCTCTTTATCTTTTTCTATTATATTAAAGTCTATAGACAACACCCGTCATATATATTATGCCTTTCGTTAATAAAAATTATATCAACTACTTTTATTTCATTTATACACTCAAACGATTCTGTGTAATCTCCAAATTCTATTCTTCTCAAGTTAATTTATTAATTTATCTATTATTTAGTAGATTTATAAAAAAAAACACTACAGAAGATACTTAGTATAACAATATAATACAATTAACACTTTTATATCTTACCATTACAACCTTGACGACATCTCAGTTTCGATTCATACAAAGTTGATTCTAGATCACAACAAATTAAGAAAGTAAAGAGTAGTAAAAATTAATATTAATAGAAATATAATTTCCAATGAAATTTATAGTGTAGAGTAAAAAAATTGTTTACTTCATAGTTCTAAATAAGTCGTACAATACTAATCATAGGTTTGTTTATGAAATTGATGTAGCAAAATTATAATTTTCAATAACAAACAAAATACAAATTTTATGAAATATTTTACAATTTTTTTTGTAAATTTTTTAGTTATATTATTTTAATTTACACATTTGATTACATTATTGCTTATAAACAAAGGTGGTCTTGCTAAAATATAATTATGATGCTACTATTAGGAACTATTAAAAATTATGAATTGTAAGATCAATAGATTTATCGAAATAATATTTCTTATATGAATTATCTATATTTTCAATCTTAAAAAACAAGCTTAATATAAAAGAACTATTGAAAAGATTTCATTTAAAAAACATGCAACAGATAAAATATTGCTAATGCATTATTGAATAACCTTCTATATATGATATTTTATTTAACTAACTCGATCCAAAAAAAAAAAATGAATTTGCCCAAGTTGTATCTAGGAATAATACAAAGGATTCTCTCATAGATTACAATAAAAATTTTAAATATAGAAGAATAAAATTAGTTGATTGATTTATAAAATTTATATAAAATTATTTATTTTTGATTACAAAAAATGTAAATAACGAATAATAACTATATAAATAACTAAACTAAAAAATAATTAAACTAAATAAATAACTTATATAAATGAAAGATAATCAGTGAACTGTATACAAAATTTATATAAATATGGATTTTGATTATTCTTTTGTCAATATGAAAAAAATATCAGCATGTGTGTATAACATCCAAATTTCATTATTTTTTTAGGAATTAAATAAATATAGATTATGAAATTTGATAACACTTACTTGAAAACTTTTTAATGCATGAATATTTGCAATTGTCTTTCCTTTCCAAATCAAGTTCTAAATGTGATTATAGAAAGCCTATTATTAAAAATAATTATAAAAAGAAAAGTTCAGAAAATTGTCTATTTTAATAACAAAAAAAAAAAAAAAAACAGGAACACTCTAAATTTTTACATGAAAATCTAAACTATTTTTAGAACAATAATATAAATTTTTGTTATTAATAATAACAAGTAATGTTTTTATTTTAATTATAAAGATTAGAGTAATTTAATAAAATTTGCTTATATTTGACATATTATATTTTTTATAAATCTTTTTTCTAACTTTTCAAAAATATACTATGCTTTGTAATATTATTTCAAGTTTAATGTTTAAACCGAATTGCATATTCTCATTTCTTATCTTGTTTACTGTTTCTTTTCTTTACATGAACATCATCACAAAAAATATCACAATAAATCAATATAATTTTAAATATGCTAAACATAAAAGTAAATAAAATATGTTATTTAATATTATATCTTACGATTGCAGCATTCTTCACATTGTTCTTTTGTAAATGTAAGCCGTCTCTTTCCTATACAATACGAAGTAAATAAATAATTGATTTCATATAATTATTTATCAAGAAGATTATCATACCTATGGTAAACGTAATATAAAATATTAAAAATGAATAAATTAATATTGCAAAATTCATTTTTTTTAATATTTGAAAATATATTTTTTTTAATATTAACAAATGATGAATAATAAATTGTAAGTATATATTGTCTAAAAATCATTTTAAATTAAAATTTTACTTTATTATCAAAATTATTTGTAATATTTTTTAATTACAGGTAAAATTTTTTTTAATATTTTTGTTATTTAAATTCTATTTTTTAAAAAACAACTGAAATATCAATAGAATTTTATTACATTTTTTATTTAATACTGTATTTTCATATATATTGTAAACTAGAACGATAATTAAATAAAATTAGTAATTAATACAAAATATATATCAAATAATATTGTTAATTTGATTTTATGCAAAGTCGATGAATACAATACTGTAATTAAACGAAAGAGTTTTCAGTTATTTATTGTTAATATTTATATTATATTATATTTATTTATATTTATACTATTCAGAAAAATTTTCAGTCTTGAATTACTATAATTATTACACTTATCTAATTTTTATTTATTAATAATACATATCATTCAAGGCTAAATATAAATATTTTTTATAAAAATTAATATATTGATAAAATATAAGTAAACATAATTGAATATGTTTTTTAATATAGAAACCTATAACTGGAAATAATGAAATATCTTGGTAGTTTTTGTAATATGGAATAAATTTAACGTCTCTTTTACAAAAAATAAACATATTAATTTTTTATATTAATCGGAATAATATTATACCCATTCATTTTATAAATAAATTTTAAGCATAGATGGAAATTAATAAATGATTATTTTAAATTCACATATAATTAATAATTAGTTTTATATAATTTTAATTATATACAGTTTGTTTTAATAAAATAGTAATTCATTAAAATTAAAGTAATAATAATTTTTAGTAATCAACATAATTCTATTAAAAACAGCTACAGAGTATCAGCATATATATTTTTTGTTTATCGTAGTTTTAATTTATTTTTGATTTGTTGCGAATATTATATTCTAAATCTGAATTGTATTATGAGATAGTAACGTTGGAAGATCAGAAAGATTCTTTAAAATTTACTGTCATTAATTTTTTGCTATTTAAATATTTTTAAGGGATTTCGGAAGTTACCTCGATATAAATATGCTTCTTGATATGTTGAATCTCACATACTTTATTGTAATATTTAATATTTGTAATGAAAAATTCATTTAGAATCTCTGGAAAGAGATTTGTGTTTTAAAATATTATATAATTTTAATAATTCATTGTACATTATAAATATTTTTATTAGTAAAATTACGTTTTATTTGAAAAACATTTGTTTAAAATTCTAAAATAGACGAAAATCAATCTACGGATATCTTGAATTTTTTGTTTCATGTTTTAATAAAGAATTTTTTAAAATATAAATTTTTTACCTGTATTATTTATTAAAAGTATGCGTTTAAAGTAAAAAAAAACCTATATTGTTAACCTATAAAATACACATGTTTAATGTAATTATAAAATTTTTAAAACCAGATATTATTACAAATTATATATATTTATTGATACATGCATATTCATTTCATAATGATTCAAGTTATTATTTCCCAAACCCATACACATACACACACACACACGCGCGCGCGCGCGCGCACGCAAGATCATAAAAACTGCAACTCTATATTTATTATTTGCACTTCCATTCTAAAGACATGTTTTTAATGTATTCTATTACTTTTTCCTTTACGTAAATTTTTCACGGAAACTTTTTTGTTTTTCATCAAAATTTACAATCCATCGAATAAAAAATCACAAAGAAAAGTAAAAAAGCAAAATTTCAATAACAAAATCATTAAATTAATAAATAGTTACAATTTAACACAAATATATTAACTATACATTTGATAGTAAGATAATATTCCTTTACGAAAACAGTTTTTTTTATAAACATGTGGGCTTATTAAATAAATAGCTTAGACATAAAAATACGATTGGCAAATATTAGAGAAAATGTATTCATTAATATTGTTTTCCGTACTTTTGAGCTGCCACTTATCTTATTCTATAAGTAAATATATTTTTATCCTATTTCTAAAATATAGAAGTAATTAATTTATATATGTTGTTTTATATAGAAGATAGGCTTTTTACGTATACGAAAAACCATTGTGATGACTGCTGTAATGGTAAAATATATAGTATATTCTGTAGGAAGTTAATTAATGTAATATGATATATATGCTAACAATTTTCATTAATTCTAATTTATATTAAATATAATATTTTTCTAATATTCTTCTAATTTCTATTAATTTCATTAGTAAATAAGTTACGTGAAAATTATGAACTGTTTGTATTTAAATGTTTTTTATAAAATGTACTAACATTATTTTTTTTACCATGTACTAAGAAATCTAAATCTATAGTATTTTAAATAATTAGTTGATATATTGTTAAATTTTGATTTGCGATTTCTACCATTTATTTAAAATACTATAGACTCGAATTAATTACTATACTTTAAATATTAATACCGATTACAACATTGAAGTGTTTCACTTAACATCTGCTTTCTTTTAGAGCCTCAGAGGTGAATAGATTCTAACTATACTTATCTTTATGTCTTTAATTATGATCCATTATTGATCTCAAAAAAAAAGAAAACAAAATTAATCTATAAATATAGATGGAAAGTTGAACAAAAACTTTTTTAACAATTAGAAATTTCGAATAAATAAAAGTATTCCTTAAATTATATTATTTAAATTTGTAATACAGAAATTAAACATAAATTTAAAAACTTTGTAGTGAAATCGATAACAAAAATCAATTGAAATACATTTGAGCAAATTTAAATAAATCAATTAAACAGTTTCTCAATTAATAACCTTTCTCAATTTCTAATAACGATTTAGGTAATTACTCTCGTTTCCTAATAAATCACAAATTATCACAAATATTGTTTGAAAAATTTCATTTTATATTGATTTCATCTTTAATTTTCTTTCTGTCACTTACCGATAAATCACAATTTTTATCTACAATGCTAGAACAATTAAAGAATATAGAATTATTTAAAAATTCTTTTCTTCATTTCTAATTACTATTAATATATATTTTTTTATATCAAATCCAGGTCTTCCTGCAAATAAGAAACATCAGTGCCATTACTCATGCGTTAAAAAATTCGCATGTAAGTAAATTAAATTTGATAATCTATTTGCATATTCGTCAATGCATTGCGTAATTTTCATATTAAATGTATCAAAGTCAGTTTATGTACTATTTAAATATTCGTATTAAAAGATATCTAAAGTTTAATTTATTTATTTTATTTTATTTTATAAGACAAGTAATAGCAAAATAACAGGTATATATTTGATATAAGTATTTTTACGTTAATCTTTAGCAACCACATATATACGTCATTAAACATTTATTCTGTTTTATATAATCAGTAATTATTATACTGAAAATAGTTTAGAAATAGTATTTGAATAAAAAATCTTTAATTTAATTTTATTTTTTACAATTGTTTATAATTTTTGTAGTATAAAAATATTCAGTACTATATATTTTATTTTAAATTATTTAAGCTTAATTTTATTACAGTAATATAATTTTACAATTAATTATATATAGAAATTACAACAATGCTTATACTTTATTTTCGATAGTTAATAATAGCTCTGTATTATATGCAAATTTTATATATTAAATTAAAAAATATTACATATATATGTTTGCATTTAGTTACTAATATCGAGGAGTTTATTATGATAAATTTTATTATTCGTTATACAAATTATAGCTTATTTTTAATATTTCAATTCAATACCTCTCTACTAATCTCTACTAATATTTATTGTTTTATATAATTTAGCAGAAAATAGATACAGCGTTGTAAGTAAATGCCTTGTAGCTTGTAGAGGTAAGATCAATATTTATGTGTAATTATACGTATTTTTTTAGAATGTATCATACTTGGCATTTTTATCACTTATATAGTCGAAATATAATTTATACAAAATTACACAATTATTTATTTAAGTTCATGTACAATTTATAAATTTAATTATTTATTTGTATTTATAGTTGCCTCATTTATAATAAATTTTTTCTTCAATTTAAATTCATTATCACGCTAGGTCGAATTATGTATTAACAAATCAAAGAATGAGATAGATTATGATTTTTGACATTGAAAATTCAGAACTAGTAACTTGAAAATAATGTTGCAGTCAGTTATTGAAAAGATCTTAATGCAAATATAATAGAATTTGAATTGAATTAATGAGTTAATTTTTAACTAATTATATATATATATATATATATATATATATATAAAATTTAATATATCTATATATATATCCATATATATACTCTATAATTT